ACTAGTTATACTAATGTGAATATATCCTCTCTGTTGAAGTACGAAAGTCTTTGTATTGGTGTGGATTTTAACATTGATTTACATAAACAATGCATCATGTCTTTCTTCCTCTCCTGTAGTTTCTCCATAGGGCTCCTTATAAAGGACAATTCTGTAAGAACAGCTGTATAAATGAGGAAATTATAAGACTCCTATGACTTAGTATGTAATTATCCTCTGGCGGAGCTGTGACATGAAAAGAAGGCAGTCTGCTGGTGCACACACTGTAACTACTAACAATCCTTTTTCTCACATCTGTCTGTTGGAAGCTTTTACTTGTAGCCAAACTGTTTTATGATGTATGGATACTATGTAGGGTAGAAGACACAGGGTGGTGGACTGGGGAGACCACTTGGTCTGACCCTAGGGAATCTGTGTTCTGTATACTGTGCTGGGTTATAAAAGCAATGGATGCATTTGGTTGGGACCTTGGAAAAGTACGTGTGGTACTGTTTTCAAAGCTACATGTTGTTCTCATCTGGATTCTCAGAGTTCATCTTTTAGCTCCCCTCTCTGAGGTGAGCTGCTTGAGGGGCAGCCTCAAAGGTGTGATCTGCAGAGCTTTGCTGTGTTCCTGTACCCTGTCATGTGGTTCTTTCTGTGTGCTTGATAGGGAGTAGCCAGTGGTCCTAAACCCCATCGTGGACCTAGGTTTTGTCATATAATTTATGTGACTATTGGAAGTCAGTTGTTTTCAGTTCTTCCCCCATGAGGCCTGAGAACTGGACTGAAGGAAAGTTGGCCCAATGAATTGCTGCTAAATCTTGAGACTTAGTTCATCATTTGAGAATTAATAGATTTTCAACTGATAATAAATGTTGTCCAAGATATTTTTCACTTTGATATAAACATAAAAAGTAAAATGTCAAACTGTGACACTTTCTGTTACTTCTAAACATATCATTCTGGATAAGACCTAACTGAATGCCAGTTTTCAATGATAAAGGACTTGCTTTTTATTTGATTCCAAAGATAGCTTTTCACTCTCCCAGGAACAAGTGGCTCCTGATTTCTCACCAACTTACTGGACTGTTCAAATGCAGGCAAAGGTTAAGGTTAAGTACCTTATTTTCCAAGAGACCTGATCATCTAGCTAGCCTTATACACTCATTCACTCTGAACCAAGCTGTGTGCTTCCGTCAGTGCCCAAATCACAGCATGGAATATGATTCTCATAAGAATATATTCTAGTAGAAATAAGGAATTAATTCTTTTAAATAGTCTATGGATAGCAATTAACAGAACAGTCTTATGTCTTGACAGGGTGGTTATTTCCATCCTAATAAAACTAAAAATGAAAAATTCTAAGAAAAGATTTAGAGAAGATAACATATTTTAATACAGAGGCATACAGTATTCTACTTTTACAATAGAGCACACTAAAGTAGAGCTGTGTCGGAGGAAACCTGACAGTCCACATTAAAATAGTCAATTGAATACATATTGAAGATATACGCCTAAGTGAAATAAATAAGGCACACGTGTAAATATCGAAGTTTCTCTGGTGGGAATAATCTGCAATAATACATAAGATCCTAATAAGATTACTGACATTGAGAAATGGGAAGAAAGGAGGTAAAGGTGTAGGGAAGGTGGGATGGGTAGGGGAAGGGTAATAAGGGAAAAAAAATGTGAGATGATGAAAAGATGGAAATAAAGTGCTTGTAGATGAGGAGGGGAGGAGGGGGTAAAGGGAGGGCAGGGACAAGGGGAAAAAATGAGAAGCAAGACTTGTCATGTAGAGGTACAAAATCCCAGCAATGAATGTAACTGTACTGTATCCCTAAAATGTACCAATAAACTCAATTAAAGCTGAAAAAAAAATAGTCAACTGAAGGCATTCAGGAATCACTGAGATACTTCAGAGGCGTGAGCCCAGGAGAAGAGCAGAGAACTGTCAGGTGTGGCAGGGCAGTGTTCATTTCCAAAGCCACAGCCAGTGAACAGAAAGAGCCTCCTTATCCCTGCTCCCTGCTGCTTCCCAGATGTCCAGGGTTCCCTGAGGAAGGCTAGTTTCACAGTTCTCCTTCTCAGGAAAGTCCGACAGAGCCTTCCCTGGAAGCAGACTGAGGTCTGCTCTTCCAGAGAGTGCTTAAAGGAGCCAAAGAAAATGGGAAATGACAGATTTGTGCAGCTGTTAACATGGGCCAAAAATCTCTCACTTTCAGGAATTAAAAGAAAAGAAGGGATCTTGATAGCTTTGTGTCCAAGGCAAGTCCATGCAAAATGGGTCAAATAGATCATGGGTTAGGAACACGAGGAGAGTATGGCTTCCTACTGTAACAAGTGTAACGGCAGAAGTTCCTGGTGAGCTACAAATACCTCAGTATGTCTTTCACTGAAGACTGAAGCCCTTTCAATATCCACATTTTCAAGCCCCAGCCACTGGATATCCTGTCCTCAGTGGTAATTCAGTGAACGAATGCATGAATGACGGGCCTGAGAGTTGTGAAAGATTTGTTTAAATGGCAAAATAAAAAGAAAAATAAATTTATCAGAACACACACTGTACTTGGAATTAAATGAAGAGAACTACATTCATCATTCTTTTCGTGGATATTTCTATGTGTGCCTAGAGTTATTATGTGGGCCCAATTAACTTAGGTTGTCTCTTGTGTATTTGATGTGTGTGTGACTGCAATAAGACAGAGATGAACCAGACCATGTTTATACTCAGAACTGTTTATCCAGGTGGGAGAGGTCATACAGAAGTGAACAGAATGTAGCTTTTTACTAGTACAGTTGTGATGATGGCTGGTCATGGTGGGCTTGAAATGGCTCAGTGTATCAGCCATTAAAGATGGAGGGCTTCTGTTTCCCCAGGGGGTAAAGTGGTGTGTGACATGCTGTGTGCTCAATAGTAATTCAGTGAATGAACCTATGAACAGTATAGTGGTTGTAGAATATTTGGATTAAATGGAAAAATAAAAATGGAAATCTAATAAAGATATTAAAGTGCTCAGTTAAAATAAGAGAAATAAATTTCATTTATCATGGTTATTTTTGAGGAAAGTACTGTATTTAAAAGAATTACTTAAGTATATGAAATTCAGTCAGCAAAGGCACAATCACCATCATCATCCCACCTAGGAGACTATCCAGAACGATCCAGTTCATCGGTGTGTGTTCTGTGCACACAGCTGCAATGGTTGCACTCACATTCAGAAGCTGTCCACTAGTGCCCTTAGACACACAAAGGGTTAACCAGTGATGTGCATTCACGGTGAGTTTATAAAGTGGCTTTGTTGAGGATGTAGAAGCATTTTAATGTACAGTGTTGGGTAGGAGTTGAGTTCCAAGTGAAATGACCAATAACATATAGGATAAAGTAGCAGCTGAGGTTGAGGTTGGACTACTACTTTACAGATGGATTTGAAATATAAAAGTCTCCAAAGTAAGTCTACTAAGTGCTGTGCTGTGAGGTGTGCAATGTAAATTCACTCAGTATTATCTCCTGGAGATTTCCATCCTGTTTCTTACATAAACACTTCTGTGAGTGGAATCTTTGAAAGGAAATGGAAGTGCAGGGAATTAAATGAAAAAAAACATGCTCGTGAGGATTTTATCTGGAACAAGAGGTCCAATTTATATCTGAGTGACTATTAACAAGTGATTGACAGATCTGAAATGCCTATATGATGACAGTAGTGTTTCCACTGTACTGAAGATAGAGTTGGATCATACAAACTGAAGGATTTGTCCTGGACGCACACTATGAACTGAACCCAGCAGTGCTGCTCAGGATCCATCCATTTGACCAATAGGCTCAGCATCAGAGAGCTGTTGATTACAAACAGATGAGGGCAAAAGCAGAGCAGTTTTTTCTAAGTGGGCCCTCAACTTTATGGTCTAAATAAAAGCTAGAGTCAATATATACTAGAGAGAAAGGGAAGACAACGAAATGAGCGTGGAGTGAGCTGGGTGGAAGTTAAGTAGGAGTAGATATCAAAACCCAGAAACCCTCTCCTAGTAGAGGCAGTCATGGCATTGGAGTCCTGATGATTCGCTTAGAAAAAAATTACTCTCTAGGTGGAAAGAGGATGAATCCTCCCCCTATGCTGCAGAGACATCAGAAGTGAATGCATCTGAAATGCTCTCTCTCAAGAGCCAAGATTGCATAGCTTTTGCTGAACTGAAGAAATTTTATACCCACCCAGGACAGTGGATTTTGTATAAGTGTTTGTAGAACCACTGGGAAACACTGCCAGAACCTTGGAGGGCATAAAGAGAGGGCTTTTCGATCTATGTCCACATTTCCTATTATCTCTCTTTTATTTTGCTCTTTTCTTGCTCTCTGCCTTTGTGGTGGTGAGTGGGACAGAAAAATTCTTCACCTGCTTGCTCATCCTCTCCTGTTGCTAAAACTGGTGCTGTGGCTATGGTCTCCTTCCAGAAACTACTTCACCCCTTGTCTTTATAACGGTAGGGGTGGATATCCTGCATCACTGATGCTTGCATTGACACCATAGATTATCAATTTTCCTTAATCCTGTCTTTCTTAATAAATAATCAACTAAAGAAATGTTTCTAAATTATTTCAGTTTGGGATAACTTTTTCCTTTGGGCAACTTCACAAGTATATGAAGGAGAATATCTTTGCAGGCAAATAAACTAAAGATTACTAGGTTTCAGAATCCTCAGCTCTTGAGTGAAATGCCTGTGGGTTACCTTGCTCTTTACATAAGGAAAAAGCAGAATTTCTCCTGTGACTGCATAGTTGAATGGTTGAAATAAGGGGGAGGAGTAGGGAGATGGATCATCTAGAGAACCCCATTATGAATACCCACATGTGATTCTCCCAGTATCCACTTTCAAGTGAAAGCCGCTTGTCTTCTCCCTTTCTCTCTAGGAAGCTCCAGGAATTCTTCTTTACAATACCCAAGAGTGAAACAGAGGATTATAAACCTAGACAAAAATTGACAAGCTTAGAAAATAACAAATATGATGTTCTAGGCACTTACTTTTCTTGCAGTCTTCTATCTAGAGTTAGAAAGCTGATCTCCACTGAAGAAGGAAAAATTTTTGCAGACTGCTTAGAAGCAGAGAACTCTTCTCTGTCCTCTAATTTAGGAGCTGCCTTCAGGACCTGAAGGACAAGTGCCCTTTATCAAAAAGCTATACAGCCCAAGTGATTTCCTTCACAAGGATTGTGGGAAAATCAATAACAGAGGATTTTGATACATGCACTCTTACTTCACATACACTCTTATTTCTGGGCATCTGTCCAATTGCCACTCAAAATCAACTTCTCTCATTATCTTGTGTGGTTTATGTTCCTGTAAGTAATTGCTATCCTGAAGCCTTTAATTGCCAATTCTGAACTGAGGCAGCCACAATCTCCAGCATAGTGAAATGGCTTATGGAGCTTTATGAATAAAGAATGAAGTATATCCCAGGGTCATGGAAGTCTTGCTATGTCTTGATTTCTTTCATATCTTCTTTATTTAGCACTAATTCATTAATATAAATGCTTTAAGTCTAAATGACACCTAGGTAAAAGTCTGCCTGAATCCCATTCTGCACAGGCCACCTGTTCTATACTTTGCATTTTTATTTGTTATTATCTAACAATATTAAGTTTTTAAAAATGCATTAATCTTATTGGTACATTATTGGTATATAATATGCTGACATTCATTATTATTCATTATAAATACAAGGAGGGAATTTGCACCTTTAGACAATATACCTTGGTTCTTACTTTTTCTCCATTACACTGCCTTCCTTCAACTCCTCCACTCTTCCCTCTCCATATTAAATTTACATTTCTGATTTAATTCTTCATATTAACTGATGAATCAAATGCATTCTGTGATATCTATCCACATCAATCCAGTAAATGGATCCATGGAAAACAAAATTCATAGCAGAAAATTATTACTTGGATTGAATGGAAAGAGAAAAATGAAAACTAAATTAAAGCTTCTAGGACACACATATAATTAGAAATAGATTTCATTAATTATAATTCTCTTTGTGGAAAGATCTGCCTGCTAAGAAGAATTATGTCTCTAGAGTAAGAGGGAAAAGGAGATTAGTCTCAAAGGGGATGGAGATAAAGAGATGGATGGAGAGGGGAGGGAAAGCAGATAAAAAAGAAACTACTAGGGTTGTGTTCATATACGAATTCCACATGGGGAATGGAAACTTCATGTACTACATACATGTAGAAATAAAGAGAAAGTATAATTTTTTTGTTCATTCGTAGGAAAATGGATGCATATTGAGACCACAGCCTTAAGTGAAATAAATAAAACACACATATGTAAATACGGAATAGTTACTCTGGTGTGAAAAATTAAAAGTGTAAATAAGATCCAAATGGTATAACTGACAATGTGAAATAGGAAGAAAAGGTCTAAAGGCATAGGGCAATTGGGAAGGGTAGGGGAAAGGTAATAAGGGAAAAGAAAAAATAGGAGAAAATGAGAAAATGGAAACAAAGTTTTTGTAAATAGGGAAGGGTGGAGGGGGTGAGGGGAGAGGAGGGGTATGGGGAAGAAATGAGAACCAAGACCTGTCATTTAAAGGTACAAGATCCCAATGATGAATGTAACTGTACTGTATACCTAAAATGCAAAAATAAACTCAATGAAAAAAAAGATTTTGTAGTGCATGAGAAACCACCAACAGAGATGAGACAACCTAAAAGGTGGGGGAGGGGTTGCCTGGTTATTTACTGCAAACATATGTTGGGCTGCTTCTTGATTTTAATTTAATTCACATGGTTTAAAGGTGACAGATTAATGACTACCACAAATGGTCACTTTGTAAGTTATGCTTGACCCTATTGTATTGCTGATTGTATCAACTGGGCTAAAGGGTTGTGATAGATTTAATGAGTTGTCTTCTCTGATATTATGAAAATGAGAATGTCTATGAGTCATTAGAGACTCAAATGCTAAAGTGCAACTATATGAGGAATATTTAAGTAAAATGACCCAGGAATTAAACAAAGGACAACCCAACAACAAAAGTAAAAATGAGAAAACACTTAAGCAAGACACAAAGACAGACTTCCAGTTCACAAATGGAAAACAGTAGGGCAAATGTGAATGAAAAGTCTGACAGTGAACCACCAGGACACTCTGAACTCACATCAGAGGAAGGAACAAAACAGATCAATCAGGCTCTAGAAAAATTCAAAACAGAAATAATTTCCCAGATAACCATAGAAGTTGTGAGCAAAATGAAAGTCATGATTGGAGATTCTAGAACAGAAAATGACAAAAAAAAGATGACCTCAGGACCATGATAGAAGCCATGAAGGCCCAGCATAAGAAAGAAATCAAAACAAGGAATGGCCAACAAGGAAAGAAATGGAATCCACAAAACAGATTCAAACCGATGTCCAGTAGATTAAAAACTCTATTGAAGGCTTTCAGAGCCGGATAACAGAATGCAAAGATAGAATCTCAGTTATAGAAAATAGGATTTCAGTCAGTGACCATGAAGAGAGGTCTCTTAAAATCAGTAAGAGATCATGAGAAATTGATCCAACAACTCCTAGATGATGCAAAGAAGAATAACATAAGACTGAAAGGAATCCTTGAAATAGCACAAAAAAATACAAATGACTTAAAAAATGCTGTTCACTGAATTAATGACAGAAAACCTCTCAAACACAAAGGAAGAATTTGACATATAGATAAGTGAGGCATATAGGACTCCAACTAGCCACGATATAAAAACATCTACACCTAGACATATAATAATCAAGATCCCAGAAACCCAACAGAAGAGCAAAATACTACAAGCAGTAAGAGAAAAGAAACAAATCACATACAAAGGAAAGCCCATCAGAATCACAGCAGAATTTTCAACACAAACCCCCAGGTCAAGGAGAGCCTGGAGTGAGGTATTTCAAGTCCTAAAAGAAAACAACCTTCAACCTACACTGATGTATCCTGCAAAACTCTCTCTCAAAATGCATGGGGAAATAAGATACTTCCAAGACAAAGACACCTGAGAAACTTCATGAATACCAAACCAGCACTACAAGGAATTCTAAATAATATCCTAGAAAAAGTCAATGAAGGTCACAAGACCATGAGGCCCAACAGAGCAAATCAAATAGGCAAGGCAAAAAGCTAAAAGGAGAGGGGGGAAATTAGAGAGTCAACAAAAGGCCAATAACATGACAATAATAAGTCTGTATGTATCAATCATAAGCATCACTATCAATGGCCTCAATTCACCAATCAAGAGAAATAGACTGGCAGAATGAATTAAGAAGCAAAACCCAACAATATGTTGTATACAAGAAACACACCTAGTGCAAAAAGAAGCCCATAGACTGAAAGTGAAAGGATGGAACAGGATCCCAGAAAACAGCAGAGGTAGCTATCTTATTTGCAGACAAAGTAATTTCAAAACAAAATTGATTAAGAGAGACAAAGAAGGCCTCTACATCCTTGTAAAGGGAACACTTCAAGAGGAAATGATGACAATCATAATCATATATGCACCAAATATGAATGCCCCCAACTATATAAAACAAATATTAAGTAACATGAAAAAGCAAATAAGCACTAATACAATTATAATGGGGGATCTAAGTACCTCACTATCACAAATAGATAGATCATCTAGGCAAAAAAATCAACATCAAAATACTAGAACTGAGCCAAGTTTTTAAACATATGGACTTAATAGATGTCTGCAGTGTTCCACCCCACAAAATCAGAATATACATTCTTTTCAGCTGCACATGGGCCATTCTCAAAGATAGACTACATACTAGCTCATAGAACAGGTTTGAAAAAGTGCAAAGGAATCAAAGTTATCCTCTGTATATTATCAGATCATAGTGCAATCAAGCTGGAGATCAATAGCATAAGAAACCGTAGGAACTTCACAAACACCTGGAAATTGAACAACACTCTCCTGAACAATCAATGGGTCACAGAGGAGATTAAAGAAGAAATTAGACAGGTTTTACAAATAAATGAAAATGGCAATACAACATACAGGAATCTATGGGACACAATGAAAGCAGTTCTATGTGGAAAATTCATAGCACTGAATGTCCACACTAGGAAAACAGAGCAAGTTCAAATAAACAACCTAATGATGAATCTTAGACTCCTAGAAAAACAAGAGCAAGAAAAACCCAAAGTTCTTACAAGAGAGGAAATTATAAAGATTAGAGCAGAAATCAATACAATGGAAACTGAGAAAATGATACAAAAAATAAATGAATCAAAGAGTTCGTTTTTTGAAAGAACAAATAAAATTGATAAACCCTTAGCTAAGCTTATAAAAAGGAATGAAAAGGCTCAGATCCATGCAATTAGGAATGAAAAAGGTGAAGTCACAATAGATCCAACAGAATTCAAGAGGATTGCCGATACCTACTTTGAGAAGCTGTATTCTAATAAAATGGAAAACACAGAAGAAGTGCACATATTTCTAGATACTTATGAAATACCAAAGTAGAATGAAGAAGATAAAAATATTTTAAACATCCCAATTACAATCAGTGAAATTGAAAATGTAATGAAAAGTTTACCAACAAAGAAAAGCCCAGGTCCTAATGGATTCACAGCTGAATTTTACAAGACATTTAGAGAAAACTACTGCCATTACACTTCAAACATTTCAGTGAAATTGAAAGAGAAGCAATACTTCCAAATTCATTCCTGGAAGCAAGTATCACTTTTCCCAAACCAGGTAAAGATGCAACTAAAAAAGAGAACTACAGGCCAATCTCCTTAATGAACATAGATGCAAAAATCCTTAATAAGATGCTAGCAAACAGAATACAGAGGATCATCCAGAAGATCATAAATCCTGACCAAGTTTGATTTATTCCAGGGAAGCAAGGTTGGTTCAACATATGTAAGTCAACAAATGTAATACACTATATTAATAGAGTCAAGGACAAAGACCATATGATCCTCTCAATAGATGCATAAAAAGAATTGAACAAAATTCAACACCCATTCATGATGAAAAACCCTGAAAAAATTACAATAAATGGTCTATATCTCAATTTAATGAAGACTGTCTATGAAAAACCAACAGCCAACATCATATTAAATGGCCCAAAACTGAAAACCTTCATGTTAAAATCAGGAACAAGACAAGAATTCCCACTAT